GCGAACAAATCATCTGGGTGCGGCAGTGCGTTCAATGCAGCATTTGGACCGTCGAGAAATCGGCGCATATTCGAATCTGACCGTTTGACTTTTTGACCACCACAATGGGTGTTGCCCAAGACGAGTAGTTCACCGGGTGGATAACCCCTGCTCTCTCTAAGCGATCCAGCTCCTGACCAACCATTGGTGTTGCCTCGTAATGTGCAGGACGTCTCGTAGGAAACACTGGAACAACATCAGGCTTAAGGGTGTACTTTGTTGCACTTCCCGAAAGATTGCTGCATATTTATCTCCTAGGCGCTCGATGGCTACAGTTTTAAGAGCTGTTGTCTTGGGTATCTGGACACTTGCACAAATCTGGTTAATCGGAACATCAAGTAGGTTGAAACGCTCGATCTAGTCCAGACGCAGAAAATTCAAATTCTGGTGGCTCCTGACGAAAATCGTTTCCTTTGCGGTAACGTCGGCATAACGATATTCACATTCGATTAGACCGTGCAATTTCAACTCAGCGCCTGATGCACTTTTAGCCTGTTGACTGGCTGGTTGAATATCTTGCGATCCGGCAATCCTTCACAACCTTTCTAATGTGACCGTAATGTCTGAGGCCGTATCGATTTGCAAGCGCGCCTGTCTTCCATTGATGGTTATGTTGGTGTACTTCCTACTATCTCTAAGCTCGTCAGTACAATTGGCGTTCACTCTGTTCGCGAAAAGACCGCGAATTTTCTTTCGAGTATCATGAACCGGTCTGAAAAATGGCTTGGATAGACAATGAGTTTCTTTGTGTCCACGTCTTTGACATCTCTGACAGATATGCTTGTTGAATGGACACCATCTAACAAGTCTCCGCATTGCCAATATGCTGATGGTGGTTTTTCTTGAGAGGTCTTCTTGCAATCAGTGGCCGGAAACTTGTTCCTCAAAATCTGTTGAACTGCGAAATTACTGGAATTCGCATCCTCGACCATAGATGTATCATGTTTTAAATTGATGTTTCTCTAGGCTTCTGCAATGACAGCTTGCAGTGTGACATCTGCGTCTCGCTCCAGCAACCCGAGTATTCTGGTTCGGATCTCGGCATCCTTGGGTGATAGCACGCTGCATGCCAGTACCAGACAACCTAACTGGTCTTCAGTAAGTGATTTCAGCTTGAATTCTTGGCACTGTCGCTTCACGATTGCTGCATCGGAATTATGTACTGGAACGATCGGCCCTGCCCAAGATGAGTGGTGTACCTTCTTTAATCCAACTTTCAGGCGGATAGCCGATTAACGTTGCTTGGTTTGAAATATTTCGGTTGGGTGTTTCGGTGCGATATCCAAAGTAATTTCGAGAGCAAGCAGTTTGTTCTAGTATTTCAGCTGGCACACGAATATACTCTCATCGGTGTTATAACTTTCGGAATCTAGTCCACTGCTTTGACGGTCAGAAGTTGTTCCGGCTTACGTCAAAGCTGGTTTCTGTCTAGCGAGTTTAGATTATCAGTGTTGTTGGTAATGGGGAAGCCAAAGTTTCTATCCCACGGCTAATCTTTACTTCACATATCTCTAGTATATCGAGTGGTTTGCCAGTGTAGCAACCTAAAGTAGACTAGGTGGGAATCAGCGGCCGATCCAGCAGCGTACGATTGTTGATCAACCTGATCGAGTCCCTGGGATCGATTTTCATGTGAACCGCTTGATCTTCATTCTCTGAATCCACAGTATATGAAAATGTTTTGTGTGTGAAATCAAGTAGGATATGCGTTCTTTGGAATTCTCTACTCTTCCAGCAGTATTATGTTGTGGGTGAGTTCCACTACGTGGAAGTAGAAGTGAATGGCAACCGCGATCTTGTCGCACTTGTGGCAATTTACTTATTTGTATATACAATCAGCCACACTTCATGTCTTTCGCCACACCTATAGCACATTAAGGAGCTTTTGTTGTTTGGTGATAGTCGAGATTTGACTGCGTACATTTCGTCTTAGGAATGATCGTGTTGGTATTGAATTAATTATCGGACTACTATTTCTCTTTACCTCATTAACGTATATGTAGCTTACTTTCGTCTACCGAGAGTAGGCGTTGTTTTTAAAAATACCAACCAGCAGACCTTGGATAATCATGGCTCCTACAAATTTCGGATTAAATCTCAGTATAATGGCAATCAGGCAAGGACAGTTGTATACAGGTTATCTTTTGACACATTCTTCTTCTTACCGTAGTTTGGAAAATTCATTCGAGCAGTAAACACATATGGTCATAAGCCTCAATGTCCATCCAGAGTTTTCAGTCTGACGGAATTGTTTTCGCACAACCGCAGTGCTTCGAAATGCCCAGGGCATTCTGTGCCCCGGTATTTCCTTAGCAGGTACCTCCTGGTATAGAGTGCGTCGTAAATGTTCAAGGCTATTTGTGCGGAACTAAATGTTTGCGAACGCAATGATGTCTCGTTGCCGAGACGACGTAGTGCACGCCGAGCTGGTTACACGCATCATTAATATCAGGGGCATCATGCACAACGCATCTAACGTATGCATGAAAACACTTCGCTATTAAGTGGGTGAGCGATAGACAAACCTTCACTTATGTACGTCCGGAGGGACAATGCTGGGCGTGTGAACGGGCGGTCAGATCGTGTCAGGTCATTACAAAAAATCCAAAGTCAGCTAAACGAATATGCTTCTTTACGGAATAAAACAATCACAGGATCTTTAACTGCACTCAGGTGTAGGGGTTTTGTTGAAACGAATTTCCGGGCGGGCAACACGCGGTATCCATCTGCTTCATCAGTTTCGGTCCCGGGGATCAAATTTGCTAAGGTTCACTTCATTCCGAATCGTGGTACATGTGGAGGTTCCATACCGCTGCGCATCCACAATACGAGTGCTTCAAAATGACCTCAAATTCATTTGTGAGTTTCTTCACGGCAGCTTCCAGATAAGATAGCTCTCCACATGCTCGGTAAAGCACTATACACTATCGGGCTCGTCATTAGTACCTATCCATAGGCTGCATCAGTATCCGAACCCATGACAACTTGCGGCTTGCACTGCACTTGTTTCATCGGGTGACACGCGCTTATGTACCTGTTTCTTTCAGATTAGTTTGGACTAGAACTGGCTGTTACCGGCAGAACTTGCGTTTTTAAGCGCCATCAGTCTGTTGCCTAGACAGCGCACTTGATCATGCTGAAAGTATTAGTCTTACTCTTTTCTTTTATTACAGACGACGTGGAACTCACTATTCGATCTACTGGTCTTCCGCGTTACAGTTAAGCTAATGGATACCTCAAGAATCTCTCCCTCACTTGGAGGAACCAATTGTTAAACACATATTTTGTGGCACTTAGGAAATCCCTCGATTTGACACTTATCTTTCATGCCACTTTTCCCTCTGACACCACACCTTCTAACTCTCTTTGTTGACATTAGAGAGTGAACTGTACGTTCAACTGACAGGTGGACAGTGGAGTTAGTCGCATTCCTTCTAACGAAAGACGGGGCGTTATTAGAACACACGCCGAAGTTTTGTTACTTTGCATTAGTCGACAAACTTGAATTGACATCCACTGCGTTTAGCTGACGGCGACTTGGTCACTCCGGGTCTTGATCATAGTTTTGTTTCCACACATCTGGTGACACGATAATAATTCTTGTGTTGAAAAGCTGCGCTACCGGTACAATACTTGTATCATGCGCGTAACCGAACAACTCCATCACTTGGTATGGCCTTCGGTATGTACTCCAACCTATTACAATGTACCACTTTTAAATCCGACTTATACGGTCTGCTTGAACATTCATGTAACCAGCAGTGCTTACTGCATTTCCGCTCTTTTTCTTGCAAATGGCAGCTGTCAACCGCATTTCTCTGACGGTTCCTGAGCCACACCCATTAAGCATTTACAGTTAAAAGCATTTTAGGACAGCATACTTTCGGACACTGATCAACGTTTCTATATATTTTTACGACGATTCGCTGAGTCATCGGTTCAGAATCACCAGCGATGCGATGAATAAAATCGCTGTGTCTAATAACGTCGTATTCTCCGTTTTTAGCCAGTGATAATATCGTACCTTTCTATTGTGTTGTCTGACACACTTGCCACCGCTGTTAGCCGAAACTGGGTTTTATGCTTTTGTGCCCTGTCGGCCATGGTCGTTTCAACTTTTATGGCCAACGGGATAATAGTGGATGGCAGCTTTTCTTTCCCAACGCCATTGGCAAGCATCGTCCTGTTGTTGACCTCCATTCCAGCTGTACTTATATCTCTTAATCTGTACTCTCGTAGTTGAATCTTGAGGGAAATATTCTATCCGTCTTTGTCCAGGCTGCGACGAAGGAAGTGGGGCTGCTAATCTGGCAAACGACTGAGCTGGTTAGTTTGCGTTGCTGCAAACGATTAGGAATGTGCATCCATGCACAACTCGATGAACCATGTGTATTGATATTGGTTGATACAGATAGCGCTTGTCTGACCTTCTGACTGCGCGCATGTTCTGTTCGCATTTTCTATCATCCACGATGGTACTGCGGTGTTTGGCATGATAGCCTGAGTGTTCTACTTCTAATCCTTTCTTCCCCGCCTTCCCAGGTGGGGATGATGCCCTCTGCTCCGCTGCTTAACGACTGAAATAGGTATCTGTTATCTTTTTTACGGTCAGCAAAAAACAGTGTTGTCAGTCTGATATTTCTTTCCTTCTGACATGCCTAGAACAGCTCAACTTCAAGTTTGATGCCATACTCCGTGGAAATGCGCACTTTATCTTACACAAACACTATTTGCTTTCGTCGTTTTCAGTTATGGTACCATCTGGTTTCATCTCTATTTCTTTTAGCATTTTTCACTGTAGTGTGTACACTTCTATTCTCTTTGGCATGTTGATCTTGTTGAGTTCTCTGAAGTATATTTTTCCAAAGTTGTCACGACCTTCATTTATATTATTTCTCACTTCAGCCGGATACAATTACATTAAATAAATTTCTCCCTTTCTGCCGCATTCTTAATTCCAGTTCTTGGTCATGTTCATGAAACTGAAGGCCCACACATCTCTGAGCAACAGAATCTGCTGATCTCAGCACCATGCTACGGAAGCACAGGGAATTTAGAATGTGATGATGGTGAGCAGTGGTTGTATCCCCACTGAGCACGGAATTGCTGTTTTGGCATGCTGATAGGTCAATAAACCAAATTTATTACGTACATGCATTTTCCGTTCGCATGCACGCAACCATTCATGTGTTTCTCATACTTAACAGTTGTCTTAGTTTACCTCATGCGATTTCTACGGTCGATAGCGACGATCATTCTGCTGAAGACTACTGTTCTCTTGGTTAGGTCACGCGTCATATATGCTCATTCCTTCGGAGAATGAAATTTTTTTCCCAACATATTGATCGTTCACTTTTTTCTAAGTTTATAAGGAAGTAATGTAATCTGTCTCCACACATTTGTAATTTTTCCATTCAGCCTGTTGTTGTTTATCTGCCATGTGTTACACAGTTGCAGAAGATGAAAACATTGCCACCGTGATTGGATGATCAGATAAACAAGATCCTGCTTAACTGTTTTAGATTACCCTCCAATGCGTGTTCATCTGAATAGCGGCCACGAAGCCTGGTGGTCTCATCCTCTATTGGCGATGGAAATGGCCGATGCTTTTATAACAAGTTATTTCTTTTCATTCTAGAAGCGGGCAGCAGGCGACACTATGTTTCTAGACGGGATAATCTCTGCTCAATTTATCAAAACACATGGAGCGTTGGGCTGAACACTGAAGGTTATTTAACCGGCCGAAGTTGTCAACTGTTTTGTCGGCCATTTATCACTCCGCTCCTCGGGTTGTAGCTTTGGATCTACTCTTTCGTGCAGAAATCGAACATGCGATCGAACGGGTGAAAGTGAATATGCCTGTGGAGCCAGATGGGCTTGCTGGTTTGCAACACTCATTGGTGAAATTGTATGAATCGGGAACTGCCCCGATCTAGTCGAACTACCCCTTCGTCGTCCCAGTTTCAAGGCACACTCATCTATTGGAATACAGGAAACATGGATGTATCAATTTGATCCCTATCCTCTGTAATTTGCTTACTTATATTGTACTTCATAAATTGGATTGCGCTCGTGAAAGTTACTTTCGTGAACAGCAGACTGAGTTTTGTCGAAAGCGGGGTCGCTTTGATCACATCTACACTTTACGTCAATTGTTAGAGCACAGCCAACATCAAAAGTGCGTTAGATTCGGTGGATTGATGTGCTCTTTAAGATTGACTGGGAAGTTGTGCCCTAAAAGTACCTAACCACTATAGGGACGCTTTACACGTTTAGCTCCGTCGAAGTGAGGGCGTATGGAAACTATCGCCATCCTTCGATCTCATCAGAGGTGCAAAATCAAGATGCTGGCCGTCAGCTTCCCTTTATGATCTCGCTGTTGACAAAGTTATATAAATTGCGTTCATTGTATACGACTTACGAGATGTGTGTTTGCTCTACAGTGATGAACATTTTGACTTAGATTATCCCGATGGTGTTGCCTCCTTGTGTAACAATTCGCAAATGTACCAGGCAGCACTGGACAAATTACAATTGCTTGACAAGGTTAGGGGCTGTTTTTTGCCCTCAAAATGCAGTGCTCTTCTCCAGCATTTGCAGGGACCACTCATTTCCTAACACTTTGTGGGGATCAGCTTGAAGTCCTTCAGAAATTCATGTACCTAGCGCCTGTGAATTTGAGGATAAAGCCAATGAGCATATAGCATAAGCTCCAGTCGCTTTGGCCAATTTTCACCACTTTTGGTGCCGGTGCGACATCACCCTTCTACTGAAGAGCAGGAACTACGGTGCAGCCGTCCGTTCATCCCACTTTGTTGTCAGGTAATCTGGCCCATCAAATCGACAGACCTGAAGAGGCTACTTGCTTTCGATCCTCAATACGCGGGGAGCGTGTTCGTTTCCTAATTTTGGTCTAGAAAGAGCAATTGAAACGCTTGGGATCATTATTTCGTACACTATGCTCCATTGGTTGCGTCGTGTTACACCTTTCATCACAACGACTCCTACTACGTGCGTTATTTGCGCGCTCGGGATCTGAATAGAAGAAGTGGAGGGCAAACCAGTCCGACGCCTGATCAAGTGGAATGACGGCTCTAACTTCGAATTTGGCACCCGTTTAGGCCTCCTGACTTCTTGCTTGGAGTCCGAAGGACGATGAACGTGTTTATTTGGAAACACTTGTCGACATGAAGAGAGCCGACCTCAGCGGCGTTTGTGTTGAGTTTCTTTGTTCATCGCCCTCCAACCGCAGTCCCATCGTCGACACGTAATATAAAACCGAACACAGCGTTTTTATTTCGTGCTTTTTGGTAGGTTGGTACGTTTTCTCGAGCGCATGCCATTAGAGTTCGCGAATCGTGGTCACTCAATCATCTGCTTCGAAGACCTGAACCCAAGATCAAACCAGGCTGCTGCCCAACGGTCAGATTGCAACGCACCGGAAAGATATCGATCAGCGGGCTAGTGTCTTTTTGAGCTCAACCCCTTGATCAATCGAGCGATACTCAGCGGAGACACTACAGTGTAATTTAACTGACCTCTGCTTCACCTTGGGACTATGTCAAATTCCAGTGTTTGCCGCGTACTCGTCCTGATCGTTCTTCCTTATCCGGACATTGGCCTACTCTCTACTCTGGCAGAATCCGACACAATAGATTTGGCGACGGAAACCCACGCAATATGTCAATAACTGCAGAGAAATTAACGGCAATTTTGCACCAACACTGAGCTCAGTTCGAGGCGCTTCATATGCGAATAATTCAATAGTTGTTGCAGCAATTCAGCATTACTTCACTATTTCTCGCCCCGGAGACAAATACAGCCCAAGCAATTGTATGCGCTATTACGGAGTTCCAATTTGAACCTTATGATGGGTTGGTTTTAGACTCGTGATTCATAAGTGATGGAGACATTTAGAAAACCCAACTGAAGCACGAGCATGGCGAGTCAGGTTGTTGTTGAGGAAGCTTGGTACGACTGAGCACATGCGATACTCAAATTTTATCCTGCAAGGGAACGCTTGGGATCTTACTTTTGACGAAAGCATCGCGAAATTTTCGGTTAGCGTTCTTTCTCGTTTATTACTCGATGTCAATGCATGAAAGTAGCCAAAGAGGAAAGCGGAGATTTCGTCACGTATGCTGGTAGAGTCAATTTCGAGTGCGAATAGTTCAGGCTGTCTACCATGACAGAAGGTCAGTTCAAGTGTTTGATTTTTATTTACCTTCTCCAATCACGCTCTGATGTTGATAGCAGGACCAACATACTGAACAAGATTGAACCGTCGCCTAATATTACATTACATCAGATAACCTAAGTGTGTCAGCGTTCGGTAAACCTCAGGCACGATACAGCAACGATGGAGCGTTCATCATCTAACTCCACTTTTCAAGCCAAGTTAAGATAAGTTTTATGTACCCGGATTGGTACATTTTCAGCACGTTACAGTATCAACTGCGAATGAAGCGAAATGACATCATGAAACTTGCAACACTTTATAAATGCATAAACTAAAGGGAAGAATGCATTGATGTCACCAGAGTGAAAGGATCCGCGTCCTTGGGTACTAAACACAAATAGATAAACAGAATCTTCGGATTATTTTCAACCAAGTTGGTTTCAGAATCGGTTTCAACCGGACTATAAGTTCGTGGCCAGAAGAAACAAATCGCGAATAGTGCGCGGTATCCCGACATCGTATTCAAAATATGGAGAGTAATACAGTCGTGGTGACCTTGGAATCACTTCGGACAAAAAAGATGTCAAAATATTCCTTCAAATCTTATATATTCGCTGTAGATAAAGTGAAAAATCATGGCCAGTGAAAAGCCAACGGCCGATTTAAAGGCTCCGCCAAAATGTCACAAAGACTTGCTCCAGACAACCCGCAAGAACAGCAGCGCCTGCTGTAGGGAAGCCACCATCCACGTGCTAGCCAACTATTCTACAGGACTGAATGATATTATTGATGTCCATCTCTATGCTCTACCATTGCCGGAGGATCTTTTGCGAAAATGAATGGTGATATGTGCTTCGCTAAAGTTGAACTAGTGTCGACTTGAAATCAACCCCCATGATCGCTCGAACGATAATCAGCCGAGAATATACTCTGTATGTTAAATTCATGTCTGGTTCTTTTTCGGGCTGGAATAAACTCCAGTGTTTTCTGCGTACGCGCCCTGCTTTTTCTCCTTTACTGGGCATTGGCCTACTTTCTATTCTAGTAGTGTTCGACACAGCATTTCGCTTTATCTTTATTCACCACTATCTACTTGGATTTTATTGCGACATAATTGCTGAGGTGTCGCTCACTTCTAGCTGCTGTGTAGAATGATGATTACTGCACACACAGTTTGGCGGTCGGTAGATACCTGAGCAATTTAGGTAGTTCCTATCCAAACGACAAACCACCGCAGTTTCACTGGTTTCATTGTCCAACATTTCCCCAATTACTGTATCATTAGGAACTTGGTGATCCCAGAAACTGCATGCAGCGCTGCATATTTGCAAGTGGACAACGACGGGCTGCCCGTTACTATCTCCATTGGTGACCATATTTGTCCTATATTTTGTGATTGTCCTCACGCCACTTTTCGACCTGTCACCTCTGTCTTATAACCCGCCGGTCACCGTTTCTAACCTGTGCGAGCAGCCTCAAATTATCCCTAGCCCGCGCGCCGCCCGAGGTGACTGCGCGACAGCGATGCGTCGATGCAGCGCATAGACCTACTGCTGATGCCTACTTGCCACGCCTCCGCGCTGTGTAACTTGTCTTTGGCCGATATGTTGATGTCACATTTCTGCCATACATGCCTGAGGATATGATAAGGCGCATGATGCCTACCGTTCCACGTAGCATCTACTTTGCATGATCGCATCCTTGAACACCATGAGTCATGCAACTTCTGGTTTTCTCGTTAATGACTCCGTTTCCGACTGTGGAGCAAGAGCCTTCTCTTCTCGAGCATTGCACTGTACTACATTCCGGATGCAAGACATGCTGCGCTTCGATGAGCCTTAGCCACAGCCGCACCCTGTACTTGTCCGCGCCACTTTATCTTTGCGTTCTCCTGAGCCTGAGACCTCTGTGCAATCGGAATTGGGCTTTCCTCAGTCTAATGAAAGACTGTGTTTGTTGGGTCCCAATAAAAGCCGGGGTTTCCTGTGGGTGTGAAATTTGGACCCGAGGCGCCCTCATCTCCGAGCATCGTCAACCTCGGATCATTGCTTGTACTGGCTAGTCCCGGTGTGTCCGTCACCACGATGTTCATAGGCAAGTACTAGGTCGCGATATACTCAGTTCCGTTCCTAGGAACTGCAAACAACGCTGAATAAATTGCGTTAGTCTGATCACGCGTTGCGTATGCCCGATCGCTGCTTAAGGACGATGGCCTTGCTTCATTTGCATGCTGAACGGTGACGCGAACCTCGAGAGGGAAGCAAAATCTTATTTGGCGTCAAGAAATAAACACACTATCGAATAAACTGAGAGCTTATTCTTCATATCACCTTCCACGCTAGAATTCACACAGTGAAGGTTGTAGAGCATGACGCAGTACCGGCTTTTTAAGCGGTGTGTTTGCCGTCTTTTCGCAATTGGACTGCCTGTTTAACTGTGTCTTATGCTGTCTTTGTGCTAATGTGGCTTTTGACGCAGGGTAATGAAGGTCGCAAGGAGTCTGCTTCGTCCATATCGCCTTACCTTCGCGCGGTAGCCGGATGTTGCCAAAATGCAGACAATCTGAGCCTGTACTTTTTTTACATTTATATTTTACCCTAGGTCCCTCTTCTGTCCCTTTTTTCTCTTCATTCTATAGGTCACGTTTGTATGACAAAGGAACATCAGTTTTAACTGTCCATGTAATACTGCTACTTTTGCAGTCATCGATTAGTATGCTCGACACGACCAATGCTCCGGAAATAGCGACAATCGAATAGCGAAATTCTGAAGTCCAGCGGCCAAGCTACACAAGGGACGTGTTCTGTAAAATTGTGGACACTGCCTCTATGACTAGGGTGTGAGAGGAGTAGTGTATCGGATTGTGCAGGCATGTCAGCGAGACCTATGAAGCAGTCGATCAGATACGGATCGAACGGTGTATGGATTATTGGCCTGGCGAACCTTCGCTGATTGGACAACCGTTGCCGATTTTTATTTAACTAACATAAAAAGTAAACACTTAATGAAACTGCGTCATTAGTAATGCTGGACAGTATAGGTGCAAGGACTGTGAGAACGAGCTATCCTGTATTTTGTCGTTCGTTGGTTTTCGCCAATAATTTGTTGGTGCCTGAGGGATCGAGTTTTACGACAGAGAAACCCCCTTGTTACGGTACTTGTTCTGCAAGGCTTGAACCAGTTCTAGTATAAGTTAAGTGCCCAACGACTTTTAGTTGCACATCGTTATGCGTTTAGGGCGCATTGTGTGTCTGGGGCTCATGCGGTGCCTATTTTTTACTTTGGCACTCTAAGGCTCAATTAACATGGCTTGTTTATCCAGCTTAAGCGATGGGTTTGCACGATTTCTACCTGGTTTTGAAGTGGCTACTCTCGATCCTATGCAACGTATCGTTCGATGACAGGCATGTGGCATGGCGCTGGTACACTATGCCGCTATGTCGACGTACATCATGAGCATGACAAAAATCGATTCCATTGCGACTCCGTGACCGCCAGCACGTCTCATGAGTGTGTCACTTGGGCATTCATACACACAAATGGCAGAAATTCCCATATTCTCATCCATGTAGGCTTTAGGAGCTGGGTCTGTGTTCGACAGCCTCGGATTTGTGGTCAGTTACATGCACCATTCAGCGGGTGCTAGCAAACCAGTTAGCGGCAGTTTCGCTGTCCGATCATCACACACCCCGGTACCTCACATCCTCTGCTGCTGTTGTACTACCGCCTTCAGTCCTGTCCGCGTAGCGCTCCAATCCAACAATGACGATCAAAAGGACGACTGATGGTGTATATTTCGACAGTAAGTGACAACTGTCTTTATGGGTCAAACACACGATCTTTTATGAGCATCGCATTCCTCCAGTCCCCTGTGTCCATGCCTCATCCGTTTTGACCGCTTATAGCCTGGCTGATTGGTAGTGCGCAATGGTCTGAGCAGTGGCGAGAGTTAATTCGTTGTGCTAAAAAAGGTGTACAGTCTTTCAACGGTTATCGCACAATAAACAATAAGATACAGCGAGAGCGAGAGAAGAGCACGTCACACGTGTTTGTCGGCAAACCCCGAAGTCAGTACTGGTGGTACAAGCAATTAAACAAGGGATAAACAACAGGAGTACAACAAGTCACTTAATAGTTAAACCAGCTACCAGTGGTGTTTTATGGGAGCTGATCCCGCATAGCGCCAGCAGAACCGCAGGATTCCTCTGCATATTGGTTACGGCGCACCACAGATGGCTGTCTGCTGGTGTCCAGTCCGCCGGATTTCCTTGATTTCTCACGTGCCTTTTAGTCAGCGCTGATCCAGATTCCAATCACATGCCTGCTAATGATCGCTAGATTTTATCGGCCACTCACTTGACCGTTCACTGTTCCTGCCATGGTATCGGCTCGGCCCCGCGCTTTAGTGCTGTACCTGGATATACCGGGTTGCCTAGTGGCTGCAGTCAGATTGCGCCCATCACTCGTAAACCGTTGTCATCCATTTGTTTTTCAGCGAGAGAAATAGCTTATCTGGTCCTCAGCCATTTCTCTGTTATGCCTGTTTCTAATGATGCCACGAAAATGCGCCCCACTGGATCCCAGTGTTTTTCACAAGTTCAAAGGTTTAGACGGAAATGTTGCATTGATCATGCATGCCAAATGTGTCCGCTTGTCGCTTCCCAAGTAGATCTCTGATTTGGCGCGTCACTTCTAGGAGTCGAAGTAATGAAAATGCACTGCTTGCATCCACGAGTCTTTTTGTGTCACGGTCCAATGAGTTTTACCACTTACTCTTCCGGTTTCAGCCGATTGTTACCTTCAACATTATAATAACGTATTTGTCTTCTTAGCTACCGCTGAAACGCTCAATGCTCTCAACATGCTACGTGGTTTCTTAGTCTTCGACGAGCTCAAATGCAGCTCCATCTACTGCGTGGAACCAACATTTAAGGGCATGCTTAGCTGTGGCATAGCAGCAATGCTTACTGACTTACAAAGTTCACTTGATGAGCGCGAGAAAGCTACTTTGTGCTCACGGAATGCTTCATATAAGTGCCATCTACGCTATGGACTAGCCCCAGAAATACTTCAGTTCAGTTCACTAAAACGACTGGAATTCGGGCACCGAAGTTCGGTGGATCCAGTAGCCACGATTCGTGTCGCCAGGATAACAACGGAAAACATGGTCTATCTATCGCAAATAATTAAGCTTTAGCAAATATTAGTGAGGGACCAGAGAGTTTCTTGCCAAAAACCAGCCGGCGAACCTCGGCATTGCTCATCCGGTGTTCCCATTAGTTGTGAGCTGTTCTCCGTAATTATCGATGATCAAACACGGCCAAGCATTTTAGGTCTTCACTTAGAACTGGTCAGGTCTCAGAGCCTTGCAGTAGCACCGGCCTTATCGCAGCGTTATACTCTTTTCACTGACAAACTGATATACATTCGTCTCCGTATAGTTGAGCCTCTGGAAAGCCTTACTAACAAGCGAAGTAACTTTCTGAGTGATATCACTACCAGAGGGGTAACACAGCTACCAACTGGAAGTAATTTCGTAAGGATTTTGAATGGAAATATGCTTTTGCAGTGGCTACTATTGTGGTGACGTTTCGCTCTTGGTACAATAGCATCTTATTCACTCTTGTGTCACTAACGAGATGTAGCCACAATATATGCCTTCTCGAAAAACCATTTGGACCCTAATGCCTTCCGAAGTTATGAATTCTCAGTCGGTTCCAAGTTTATTCCAAGAGATCAGTATTTTTATTTAATGCCGGGTTACCTGCGCTATTTCACAGTGTCAGACAGATCTTTTTGACTTTCTATAAGACGCACCTTGTCTTGAAATCCTGATGCATGACCATTTGCTGTAACGAGATAAACCCGAAACACCCAGTCGGTGAGCCTGAAGTGCACGTCGAATTGTTCGAAACTCAACACACATGATCTCAACTATACGACGAATTTCGCTTAAGTTGGCCTGAACAAAGCAATTTATTCCGTTCACCATGTGTTTCAGACACGATTTTTTCATACATTCTTCATTACATTCTTCTTACAGGTTGTTCGCAGGCTCGTCCATCTGCTTCTGACGATCTTTCACATTGTCATCTGCGCGTAAGCACTCCCACATTCGGTCAGCGAGTGTCAGCACGCAACCTCACGAGCAGCGATTCCGACAGCATTGAGCTGAGTGAACATGGCAACCTCAACCCTACTCAGACCGATAGGACTGAAGTGTCCTACCAACCCGATGTCGAACATGGGTCGCTGTATGAATTGCAATCGGTAAGCTGTATCATCAAACGGGTCTCCTTCTCCCACGTTAGTATTCCTTTTGCACTTTCATCGGGAGCATTTTATTTCGCGCATGTGTCATTCTTGGGGAGAGGACAATAGAAAACAGTAGGAAAAATACAGCAGCAGCCCAATGGTCTGTCAGCAGCTCGCTACCACAACCCTCAGCGAGCCACGGAACATCACGGACATACATATACATATTCTGTATTTATGGTACGGAAGCTGGAGCAAATCCTTAAAATGTTTCGTTGCGCCCCTGGCTTCTTGATGTAGGCGCGTCGATGGCGAATGTGGACAACGCGGTATTTGTCCACATTGAAGGGCAGTGCGTTTCTCACCTACTGTGCTGGCCTCATCGTGGTCGCGCTGGCGGATCTCGTTGTGGTCCATTCCCTTGATCGTCCACCAGGCTTTTTCGTCCACATAGAGCCAAATCTTTGAGATGATAACTGTCGCTAGATCCCTAATGAAAACTAAGAACGTGGGAAGCCCAGGTACCCAACCCCGCAGTACGCCGCACTCCACTCCAATCGGGCCCGACAAAAATGTTCCAACTCTAACTTCCACTTGACTTTCAGAGAGAAAGTTACCGATCCATCCTAATAATAGATCTCCGATTCCGTAGTGTTGAAGTTTGTGAAGCAAGGTTAGCTGACCCAAGCGATCGAACACTTTTAGTAAGTCCAACTAGATAACATCGATTCCTGTCCCATCGTCGACTGCTTCAGACAAGTTATCAAATACTGTCAATAGGCTCGTGGCACATGACCTATGTTGACAGAACCCATGCTGCTCCGGCGCGATGATGCCTTAGCTTTCCAGGTGCCTCACCAGTGCGTCTGCATTGATCGCTTCCATGAGATTGGCGAGCATAGGGAGAAGCTTTACTTTGCGGTAATTGGCATACTCAGACCGACTTCCTCTCTTTTGAATAGCGGTGATAGTACCCCCTATCTAATTCGCTAGAACTATGTCCCCGTTTAGACAACGCTGAAAAAATTCAGCAAGTGGTTTAGCTAGATGCATGACTGCTACCTGCAGTGTTTTGGACTGAAGTATATCTGCTCCAGGAGAGCTGCGTGTACGCAGGTTCACAACTTTCTCAGCGCCGCTTCTGAAGTTATTGTGTCGCTGAATAAAACTGACAGTGGAATACTGGAGGCGGGAATAGCTTTCGAGGCTAGTATAGCGTTGGCCTGCTCTCTCTCGCTGTGTGTATATCCAACAACCTAGTGAGTGGTGGGATTCCACGCCGCACCTTGCCAAGTCTTGATGTGTTTATAAAGAAGTTTGTGGTTCTAACAGAATAGTTGTGCCGGCTGCTGATTTTACGTTAGCTTGTTCTGACGAACCAATTGCACACAGTGGTTGCGTTGATTCACGTACACTTTTCCAATTCCTGCCCTGGGATTGTTTTTGCAAACACGCGATGTCCGATCCGTTAGTACCATATACTTTCAAAAAGGGTTTTGGTTTGGTAGGACAATGAATAGCTTTTGGCTCTGATGCTTTTGCGTCTGGAGACCTGATGCTTTTCGAAAATGTTTCCTAAGTTATCTCTGGAGTCAATCAGTATGGAATGTCCAACCAGCGTTTTCAACGAACACGCGCTACGTGATAATACGTAATATATTGCATCTTTTCCGGCTCTGCATCGGGATTTTTGGCATAGCAAGTGTAATAAAAAGTTAGTAAAGTCACATCTGACCCATCAGCCATGAGTTCTCATTTGTGGACACTAGGTCTAACCTGGACATTTTATTCGCTCTTTTGAACCTGGTGGCAATGGTGACGGGACTATACAGGAGTATGCTGGAGGGTTTCTCTTGCAGATAGGCGTTGCACTGTTCACTTGTGGTTGCTGGAGTGTTGAAACCTCCAGTAATGAGAGTATGGCTATATTTCTGATTTATCACAACACAAAACGTCGATATTAATATGAGGTCCATTTCCGGAGTGGGCTTAGGCTATCGGTAAACTACGGAAGCAAGGCATATTTCGTTGTCTTTCAGCCATAGTTTGCATCTACGAGATCAGTGACAGGCGTTTGGGGATCGTCTATGAGTTCAGTGCGAACGTGTTTTGTGATAATTGTTCACTTCCCGTCCCCAACCTGTTCTGTCGTTTGGGAGAAGTGACATACCAAGTAGGTTGAGCTCCACGTCGGTGATCTCATACCTGGGCCAGTTTCGGTGATCGTTATCATATCTCAAGAAGCTGCAACCTGACGATGACGAAGTTTAACCAACTTGTTAATGGGACATTGTGCGTTCGCATACAAGCAGGATCATTTCTCGGTAACCCAAAGTAAGCTAGCGTATGTTGAACTGATAGTAGAAATTGTGCTAGCCGTTGAAGTGTTGGTTACTAGTTGTTTTTTAGAAATCGCTGAGCTTTGAAGTTCGGTTGGATTATGCGACTCTTCGTGGATACCTGGGTCCGGATGATCTCCCGTCTTGTTCCATCGAATTCGAAGTTGTCATTAGATCGATACCTTCACAAAGCTGTATGAAGGGAAGTTCACCGATTTGACCATACCCAGTATGTCGTCAGTTACCCGTGGCCGTCTACCTCCTGCCTATAACTGATTTTATGTAGGAAGCTTTTTGCGGAATTTAGAGCGGTGTCATTAGCTCAGACTAACGCATCAGATTTATCAGCCTATGACCGTTCGCCGTGTCCTTAGATTAAACTGGGATTCCTGTCAACCGCTTCGCAGTTCTTTGTCGAGGGAGAGGTCCCAACTGATATAAAATGATTGCTCCCGGTCGTGTGCTTCCGCTTCCTCAGAAAGGAGATGTTTGAAGCTCAGGAACTGAAATCGTCCGTTTTTTTCTGATTTACAAACTTCCGCATTGCCACTATTTCGGACTTTCTTTCCAAGGGATCTCGGGATATATGAGCACCGCATGTGATGTGTTGCAGAGTCAAATGGCCGACAGCAAAACGACCTCTGTGTCCTCAGTGGGAATGAGTATCACCCGGAGAAGTCGACGTTCACCATAATACACTGAATTTGGGTTGCGTATGATCAGACTTAGCGTCGTAAGCTCAACAGAACTGTGAATCGCACCACAAATGGACTCCATTGGTTACAATTGTCTATCCGCTTCCTATTTATGGTACTAAACTGATATTCTAAACTATTCGTGCCCTGCTTTCCCCTTTGACTGCAGATTTGATGGTATTACTTGATGCCGTTTTTAGCGGTTTAGTTGGCTGTGGAAGCTGCGTCATCCTAATGTTGCTCGGTGCTGCTACCGGAGTCAGGCGTGTTCCCTCGGGCATTTGCATGCAGGCAGCTGATGCGTACGTTGCCCGACTTTTCTATATGATGGACTGATGCGCCTGAACTATTGTTCCGTGTCGCCTCCACTGACTGCAAATGTACGTGTGTGTGTGTGTGTGTGTGTGTGTTTTCTTCTTTCCTCATTGCGCTCATTGGCAGAGTCCTTCCCTGTCTGACCGAACACTGGACTCAGCACTCACGTTCCCTGTTTGCTTGCTTGCTGTTACGTCTATAAGTTTTCTGCATGCACCGTTGTTTACGATATACTTTCATTGCCCCGTCATTATCCTGATTCCGCTGGGTGTAACAAATTGACGACTGGTTATTCGAATCACTTATGGCAAATTCAATTACTTCACCTCAGCCGTTTTGCAATTATTCCGCGTAATGGCCTACGACGCGACAATGGACGCAGTGAAAGACTACTTTCACTAATTACTTGGATTTACTTGTGCTTTTTGGCAGTAACAATGAGATAGACTAGGCATCAAAATTCAATTACTGCGTCGCCACCTCGGT